GTATACACAGCCCCAAAATCAACATGACTTGGGAGGAGAGAGGGTTGCAGAACAAAGAAAGGTGCTTTTCGTCCAGCGAAATTTATTTCTTTTCAATATTTGTGATCCGCAGCTGATAGCGCATGAGACCACTTGGCATTCTGTCCCAACAAAGGGGAAGGCTGCCGGGCTGAGCAGACGCTCGAGCGGCTTGTGGCATGAGGTGCGCCATTTGTCAGGAAGATCAATATTGACTGTTCTTGTGTCTTTGTGGTGAAAGTTTGCTCTCCCCCGCCCCCCAAAAAGTGGAGGCTGCGCTTTAAAATATAGAGCACGAGCCTAGTTCAGACGTTGAATCAAGCGATTGCAACAGAGCTTCACAGAGAGGCATCCCTTCCCAAGGGTGAGATGTTCCCTCTTAGGGAGTCTGGTTCATTTGTCTTGCGACCCTGGCAGCCTCTTCCCTGTGCATGCTCTATCGTTCCAGCTCAATCCTAACTCCATGAAACGCACCCTTTGGATGTAACAATACACTTCAGTGTGTGTTTTGAAACATCAGTTCTATTCGGTTCTATCCAAAAGAGACCAGTAAAGCCTCGTGTCTCATGTACCAGAGCTTATTATGGGTGAATAAGACAAGGGGCCATGGACCGTAATAGCTGTCGATGCCTGACCTTCCAGGCATCCTTCCTGGAAGGATGCCTTCCACTGTTTGTCTTATTTTGAGCTCAGAGAAGAGAGTCCTCTGCTCCGCAGGTAGAGGAAGAGGCAGGCATCTGGTTCATGGCCAGCTTCCTCTTCCATAGACAACATTAAATCCTTCGCAGCAAAATGTCGTCCAGGTCTTTAATCAGTTGGAAACACTGCAAGGATGCGGACCCGTGTATTAGCTCGAGGGGAGCCGGAGAACCTCCTGGTGCAGTGGGCTTCTGGGCGGTGCTACTGAGCCAGCACAGTGTTCTAATGAATAGGAAGTTATCTGTTATCTGTATCAACTGCCTGGGGAGATTTCTGTTTTATTCCATGTATACTCCTGTACTCTGCCCTAGGCATCTTGTGTCAGGATTTGTACTGTAAAATATATATTCCCCAGATGAGTTTTTAAAGTGACAGCTATGGGCAAAACACAGTAAGAGTGCTTTTTGTTTTTAGTACTATTTACGTGTTTCTTTTAGAAAAAGGAGAATTCTATGAAGGTGAACTGCAGACAGGGGCTACAGGTAGCTAAGTTCACGGGTGCTAAAGGACCGTGGGGGAGTGAGGAGGTCTGAGGGTCTTTAGAGGTGAAAGTCAACCCTGAGCAAATCGGGAAACTGAGAGAGGAACAGGAGGTCAGGGTACCTGCCTGGCCTTGTGCATTTGCGTGAACCCCAGAAAAAAATAGAAACCCAGGAACGGAGAGGATAACTCACCCGAGTTCCTGCAGGTAGGCATGGGGGAATGAGATTGGAACAGGGGGAGAAAGGGCTTATTTATTCTTTTTAACTTTTTTATTAATTAAATTTATTTGTGTTACATCCTGACTGCAGTTTCTCCTCCCTCCTCTCTTCTTATTTCGTCCCCCCATCACACCCCCACCATCCACTCCTCCTCCACTTCTTTCCAGAAAGGATTGGGCCTCTCGTGGATATAACAAAGCATGGCATATCAAGTTGCAGTAAGACTAAGCTCCTCCCCTTGTATTAAGGTTGAGTGAGGCGACCCCATATGAGGAATAGGTTCCCAAAAGCCAGCCAAAGTGTTAGGGACAACACCTGCTCCCACTGTGAAGAGTCCAGCATGTAGACCAAGCTATGCAACTGTCACATGTAGAAGGCCTAGGTCAGTCCCATGCAGGCTCTCTGGTTGTTGGTTCAGTCTCTGTGAGTCACTAGGAGCCCAGTTTTGTTGTTGATGTCCTTGACCCCTCAGGCTCCCACAATCCTTCCTCCCTCTCTTCAACAGGATCCCCCAAGCTTGGCCTAATGTTTGGCTGTGGGTCTCTGCATCTGTTTCCATCAGTTGCTGGATGAAGCCTCTCTGATGAAAATTGGGTTAGGCACCGATCTACTGAAGGGGCGAGGTCGATCTGTAATTAACCAGGCCAACTCAATACAAAAAGATTTAGCTTTTAATAATCGGGAAAAAGGGGGAAAACTTACACGACCAGAGATCCCACAAACACCAGGAGAGCAGGGAACCAAAAAGAGGTAGTGACAAGGCACTTCGATCTTTTATTTGTTTTGTGTGGCCCCAGGGGGACGTACCCTAAGCAGAAGGTGATTGGCTTAAGTTCCCCATCAATCTATGAGTGGAGCAGAATATCATTATGTATCATTACACTGATATTTTTTTTTCTCCAATCGTGTTTGGTTCTATCCTATGTCCCTGGGCCTTTATTCTCCGGGTCCTGGCCTTGCAGATAGCATCAGGGATAGGCTTACTCTTGTTGCATGGGTTGGCTGGCTACTTGCACAGTCCCTGCGCTGCTTAGCCTTTGAGCTATATAAGGGTTTATTTAATCTTACTGGTTACAGTCCATCACTGAGGGAAGTTAAGGCAGGAACTCTATCTAGTTCCTGCTCACGGTGGCTGCTATTATTCTGTGCAGCATTTGCTTGCACCAGGGAACTTGCTCCCAGCCAAGGAAGCAGAGCAGACACCAAGATGGAGGATGCCTTTCTTAGCTACCTTTCAATTGTTGCAATACAACACCATGACTGAGGCAACTTATAAAAGGAAGCATTTAATTTGGGGTTCATGGATCCAAAGGTTGAGTCCCACGGCCATGGCGGTAGGGAGCATGGCAGCAGCCTGGCAGGCACAGTGCTGACTGGAGCTGTACTGAGGGCTCACATCTGAGAATGGCGAGGGTGTTTGAAATCTCAAAGCCTGCCCCCAGTGACTCACCTCTTCCAACAAGGCCACACTCATAATCCTTCCCAACATTTTCATCACTGAGGGACCAAGTATTCAAATGTATGAGCCTATGGAGGCCTTCCACATTCAGATCACCCTGCGGCTCGTTGGCTGTCTTGCAGGCTCACAGTTCCTTAGGTTTCTTATACAACTCAGGACTACTTGCCTAGGGAATGGTGCCTCCCACAGTGAGCTACAGGCCAATCAGATCTGGGCAATGCTTTCATTGGGACGTTGTTTTCTCTGATTACGTCATACATGGATATGTCATGATTCTATGGTTTCTGATCTGAGGCTCCGCGGCTTCAACACGTAGAGGCTTTCCAAGGTGGGGGTTGGCAGTGATGCTTAACATGTCTTGTAAATTAATTCTTCCTCATTCTCATTTGTCTTGAATTCACTCTTACCGTTCCATTTAGATGGAAGAAATTCCTTTTCATTTCTCTTTGATGATCTGTTATGATTTTTTTTTTTTAAAAAAGAATATTCAGTCAGTGCCAAGCCAATATAAAGAAAATGTGATCGGTCAGAACGGCTTGTAAAGCAGTGTTCTGTTGATCTCCCAAACTCTGTCACTGGTTTACATAGTCTGAGTCTCTCAGCACCTAACTCTTGCCCTGTGACTAAAGGTGTGAATCCTCTCAAACTTCCTTCTCTACCTCCTTGGCTTGGAGCAATGCCTAGCAAAGTGAGAGATTCACAGGACCTTCCATTGAGGTTAGCGTTGTGGACCCTGACATAACCTTTTTATTTCTGGGGAGATGGAGGGACCGGGGAGAGTTCTGCAGAATGCTGGCATTGAAAACCCACCTCCAGAGGGAAGATCTCGTTCTTCATTCAGGGATGGTTTGATCATTTACTGACCCAGCAAGTTAGTTCTACCCCAAATAGATATTATCTTCAGTATTGAAAGAATTTATGCATACAATGGTATCCAATATCTAAGAAATGATATAATATTCAATCATATCCAAACAATTAAAATGGCATATAAACACTGATGGACAATTAGTACTGACAAGACATTTAATGAACTGTTTTTCTCTAAAATCAAGTGAAATCATCCTTTTGGTTATTTAATTCACTGTTATTTATTCAATGTACATAGCTATTTCCCCTCTCCTTTTTTTGTTTGGAGTCCTTCAAGGTCACAACAGCTTCTCTCATCTCCTGACTGCTTCTGCCTTTCCACAGCTCTACCTTCTGATCTGCTAGATACCCCTGTGCTTGTAATGACTCCTCCTATGTCACCACATAGCTACCCCCTTTGCCCGTGAGTCTAATTCCAAAGCACCTCTGTCTGAGAAGCCGTATCTTGTTTCCGCACATAAGTCAGAGTGCGGGGGCGGGACTGGGTGGCCGGGGAGATGGACCAATGGTTAAAAGCCCTCTCCCAGCACCCACATGGAGAGGCCCACACTGCCAGGATCTCCAGCTGCTGCAGTGGATTTGATGCCCGTTGTAGGCGCAGCCCCGATGTACACATACCCCTCCAAACATGTGTATAATTAAAAACAAACACTTTCAAAATGAAGAGGACTAATCTTAACATTTCCTCATTACTCTTAACCTTATCTTGTTTTCATCTTATTGTCAAAAACAACAGCAACAAGAGCGTTCCCATTTAACATCCATTTAACATCCATTGTTCTTTGTTGTTGTTGTTGTTGGTTTTGTTTTTCGAGACAGGGTTTCTCTGTGTTGCTTTGGAGTCTGTCCTGGAACTCACTCTGTGAACCAGGCTGGCCTTGAACTCACAGAGATCCGCCTGCCTCTGCCTTCCGAGTGCTGGGATTAAAGGCCTGTGGCCACCACCGCCTGGTTTATTGTTCTTTTTTTTTTTTTTGTCACACTCGGTGGAACTCAGTAGAACGTATTTTCTGCATGACCAGAAAGCGTTCACTGATTTAGTCAAGCACATGGGGGCGGGGCGATGGGTGTGTGTGCTGTGGGCAACGAGAGCCAACTCTAGCAGTTTCCAGAATTTTAACGTTTAAAGAATAAAGAGATAAAAATGCTATTACAAGGTCGCTCATTTAGTGAAGGCAGGGTTGTAGGTGCCGTGCCCTGTGTGGAGTCACAGACCTGACGCTGCTGGTTTGTTTTTCTCTTTTGCCTCACAGCCTAATCCTCGTGCTGAGAAAGCAGCCTTACCTTGCTCCAGGTTTCTCACTCACATGAAGAATTTCTCTGCATCACATAAAACGGATAAATTACATTTTCTACCGTTTCCAGGTAAATTAACCCCAAGAAATCCCATAGTTTCCAAAGACACCGTAGCGTACATAGGCGAAAACCGTAAGTTTTCACCCTTTAGTACTTCCCGCCAGGCAATGAAAGAGGCATTTCAATGGTCTATGAAGTCTGAAAATATAGGGGGAGGTTGCCTCAAAGCTTGGCTGGATCCTTGGCTCATGAACATTAACCCCATTTTATCCCACCTATTTTACTGGCTTTATTTCATTGTTGCTTTTGTTTTCAGAAAGAGTAGCAAATTGTAGCCAGAAGCATGTATTATTCTTGGAGTTGATGGTCTCAAAAGTAAAAGCAGAGGCAGAGGCAGGTGGAAGGCTTTGATTGTGAGGCCAATCTGCCCTAAGTAGTGATCCCCACCCAGGGCTAAGCAGCGAAACCCTGTTTCAAAGTCCCAAACTAGGCAAATCAAAGGAAAACCTTATTTCTTCCCATATTTCTAGTTTTACATTATGTCGGATGACTTTGGCCTAATTTGGGTCTCAAGGACCTGGTGAAATGAAGCACGTTAGGAGGGCCTCTGTGGAAACTGCGCCTAAATTGTCCCAATGTGTGCGTTTGGAGTGGGGACAGAGAGATAAAGAGAAAGAGAGGCAGGTTTGGGGATAGTTTTCCAAACTAAATTCATGGAAGATGGAAGGCAAGCTTTTTTTTTTTTTTTTTTTTTAGCGAGACCAATGTGATGTGCAGCTGTGTTCTTACCTACTGTGCACACTCACTGTGCACACTCACTGTGGACTACAGTGCAGTTGGGGACTACTGATAAACCCCATTTTGAGGAGTATTTCCCTGGCTTGAAAGGGAACTGGGGTGAATGATCCATTTATTATCCAAGAAAAAGCAATAATTTTACAATAGTTGATGAGGCAGATCATAGTTGTTCTTTGATCCATGTGCTGGTCCTTTATTAATTTTGAATGTTTGAACGTTTTCGCTTGCTTATTTACATACGTGATGGCGTCATCAGGGTTCATCCCAAAGACACGGGGAAAGAGAGACCCCAGACCCAAACCATCATGGCCAAATTAATTAAAACAAGCACTTAATTAAAGCGAGCTTTTTAATTTGTGTACACGGGCTGTTTCCACCTAAGGTGGGGTCCATGAGGTCAACACTGGACATGGGGAGACGAGGCTTTCATGGAGTTTAGGGATAGAAGTTTTCCAAGTGGGGGGCAATGAGTGGGGTTACAAGAGCAGAACATAACAGGTGATCAAAGTAAGGGAATCACAGCAGGTCGTCAGAACAAGGTAGTCACAGGTGATCTTATAGCCCGTGGAAACAAAGGCATGACTGGCGTTCCTGAGACAGGCCATACAGAACCATTTGTAGTTAAGGTTACAGGTGGGGCATGCCCAATCTTTGAAAAACAGAGGCTTTGTCAAAAACAGGACTGAACCTAGCTTGTCTTTGCCCTAGGATGGCTTTTAAGCCTAAGATGGAGGCAGGCTGCTGCTTCATCCATTTCTTATGTATGCTTGGATATCAGGGTGATTGAAAGGTTTTGTTGGTTTTGTGGCGGTTTCAATGCCCTGGGTTGTATAATTTTGATGAGATCTTTATCCAAGGCTTTATATTCATAGTCTGAGCAAACTACAGCTCAAAATGTGTTTATGGCTATGATAAATAGGTCTATTGTAAACATAGCCAGACCTTTCAATCTTGTCATTATGTTAAATGACACAGCATAAGAAGTATTTACATAATATACATATTATTATCATGTATTGCAATAATCCAGAGATGATTTAAACTGTATGGGAAGCCCTGTAGGTTTTTTGCAAATCCTATGCCTTCTTATATAAGGGTCACCAGCAACCTCAAGTTTTGGTACCAGTGAAAAAAGAGTCTAGGAACTAGTCCCCTTTGGACACCAAAAGACTACTGTGGTAAAGATTTCATATTTCAGGGGTTTGTTAGCACATATTAAACTGGGTTTTGATGTACCCCACTCTTGTTAGTATCAGACAAAGACTCCACTAGGCATTTCCTCACTGTTTCAGGCAATTGGTGTAAATCAATAAAAGCAAATGCCTACATCCTAATTCTTTTCAAAATTCAGAAGATGACCAAAAAGACCACTATATCCATCTGAAGCATGCAGGACTTCAAAATTCAGTGGCTGAGGAGCTTGAGAGCTGAGGTTGTGGCTGTCACTGTTTGATAAATGCCCTGCATTAGAGTTATGGGGCTTCCACTGGTGGCTCTAAGTGCCTAACTGTCCATCTTAAATTTGGTGGCCTGAAGTCTTCATGTAAGCTACGACCAAGGGGCACCAGTGGGTGGGGATGATTAGTCATCAGGGACTCTTTAGACTGAGAGACGGACTTGACTCTATGTGGCCCTGAGGACAAATGAACAGCATGCTGGTCCTGGGTGCTGTGTCAGGATGGGGATCTGAGCTGGGAAGACCGCTAGTGAGACTGGTTGATAGGGAAAGGGACCCCCACCTTTTCCCATAACATGGGGAAGTGACGGATTCAGTTGTCTCTAGGAGCAGTTGAAGACAGATGGAAACGCAAGACCCTAGGCAAGGAACCTACTGTTGAAGCTGTTACAGTCATCAAGGAAAAAGATGGCAAGAGAATGGTGTGCTTGTGGAATCAGTGGTGACCCGTAGGAGGTGATGGTTACAGGACATGATCGTGGATGAAGATGAGGGCTGAGATCAAAGACCGAAGTGGGGGAGTGTTTGCACAGCCGTCAGTTTACTCAATGAGGGATGACTGAACACCCTGGCATCAGGCTAGGTTTTGGGAATATAGACATAAATAAGATAGGTTCCTGTCCTCTTGAAATGTGCCTTTTATGTTAGGTAAAAATTGATAAGTAAACAAATAAATTATCAAGTTTACAGTAGATAATGATAAAAGGTATGAAGAAAAATAACGGGAAGTTTCCTTACGTACCTTTGGAATCAGCCCCTGCCCCTCAGACTCTGATGACAGACAGGTTATTTAATACCTTCATAGTTCTCTCATTCCTAGCTTTTCATATCAATAGAATCTTTTGACATGCAATTTCCTATGTCGAACTCCCTTCATTCAGCCTAATGCATTTCAGATCTATGGTATTAGTGGTGAGTGATAGCCCATTGCATGCATTGACCACGGTTTATCAGATGAATAAAATGTAGACCTTTTTTTTTCTTTTATTCTTAGTAAGAGACTTTGTTGAGGTGACTGGACTGTTAGTTTAGATCTTAATTGTGATAGTGGTTACGGATCTGCATATTCGATGTGGCATATAGCTCCACGCCAATCGGTGAATTATACACGATGCAAATTTTACTTCAGTAAATCTTATATTAAAACAGCTTCTATACAACCGAGAGACCGCAGCAGGCTTGGAGATAGTTATTATATGAAGGCTGAGAAGATTGACGTGTCTTCTGGAGAAGGGAAGGTGCTGTGTGAGCTGAAGTGAAAGTAAATGGTGCTGAGGTTGTGCAGGGCTTTGTCAGCCACGAGGAAGAAGGGTTTTAGATTAAGGAATGTCCTAAATTCCACGGCAGCACTGGAGTCATAGACAAAGGAGCCCCTCTTCCCGCCTACGTTTAGAGACCACTGCCGTGTGCTGTGTGTACCTGACTGGAGCAGGAACCGAAACCAGGAAGACAACAGAGAAAACAGAGGGATGCAGTGGCAGTGAGGATGTGAGGGGGTGGAGGTGGAGAAAGGGATCCAGATAGATACAGATGCTGAGAACAGCATGCTCAAGTGTGTGCACACATGCACACAGAGACAGACACAGACGCAGACACATGACCACGCTCTTAGAGGTCAATGTGACAGGGCTGCCGCAGGACAGGTATTCTCCAGCATTGGGAATTCCAGGGGGGGTCATGCAGATAAACATCTCTTCAGCGAGTATGACAGGGACTTCATCAAAAGGCTGTGGTTTCTGGCTGAGATGGATTCCTACGATGCAGTTCAACAGCGCTTAGTAAGTAAATAACCGCTCAATAGTAAGTAGTAGTATTGGACACTGCGGGCAGCCCTAAGGAAAAAATACATGGGTAAAGTCTTACAGGTGTAGGAAAGTGTCAAGTTATTCCATAAGGGGATCACCAAAGCACCCAGCTTTCTGATGAACTCTATCCGTTGGCGTTGACTGGTGGCCACAGAATGTTACCCGAGAGGCACTGTTCCGACTGTTCACCTCTGTCTGTGCAATCGGGTGAGGAACCAGAGTGTTGAGAAAATGGGAAGACAGGGAGAGGAAAAGGAAAAAGGAGATCTGGCACCTTGTTAGCCTGGAGTCCTCATTTCTTCCTAGAACTCAGAGCCAGGCATGACCCGTGTATCTATCTAGAGGTTTGGGGAAGCTTTCTGTGTTTCCCGTCAAAGTCACCAATCGGTCCACATAACACTGATTACGGTCTCAGCTAATTTCATTCTCTACAAAAGTTTCATGAGTCTTGGTGACCCCTCTGGCTCAGACCACAGTGATTCCCCGGAGAAGTCCCCGCTTTGCTCCTGTCATTTTGCTTTGCATCTTAGTTGGTCTGCACGTCTACGTCAGAATCACGCTGTAGCTGGCAGGATGAGGCTCAGCTCGTTTCTCTCTTGCTGACCTTTTCTCTTTCTCCGAAGATGTCTTGCTCTTTCTTTGGCACAGCTGAGAGCGTCCATTCTACTCCCCTGAGCTTGTGAGAACACGCTCAGATTCTGGTGAGGGCTCTTTGGGGTTGCTCACTCCAAAGGGGTGGTTCCCACCGGGATCTGGAATATGTCTGTACCCCTTCTCCCCACTTTCTCGCAAAAGAGCTTGGGGTAGGATTGGATGCCTCACCTCTTGGTGTAAAACTACCTTTCATGGGTTGACAGACATCTGCATCTGGGGGCGGGGCAGCTCCCAGTAGCTCAGCTTTTGGGAGGAAATGATGCAAATACAAACCCAGGGCTTAGTTCTTGGGAAATTCGGGAAGTGTGTCCCAGAAAGGGAGGAAGGGAGGGGAGACGGGGACATTCGTCAAAGTG